TGAACCCCCCCCCCCCCCCCCCCCCGGGATGGATCGATCTAAATCTCTGGGAATGCAGTCTTACATTTTCATGTAAGGTTTTGGATAATTATTCAAATAATTTCTGACCTTTGGTCTTTGGATAGCACTTTTGTAAGAAATTGCCGTAACTATCTTAAGGATTAAAGGCCAATATTATTGTAAGTCACATGAGGAGCAATGTGAGGAAATAACGATGGAGGGTTTTGCAGCAAGGCAATCATGATTTGCTCAAGGCACCTTTTGTAAAGACAGGAAAAACAAAACCCTTGAGACTTCTTGTGAAACAACACAATCAACATTTGCTCAAAGGTCTTAGTTTAAGTACGGGGATTATATAATGCATGAGAATACTCAGAAAAAAAATGTGTAACATAGATGTTAGGTGGTACGAAACAAGCTCTGGATTATTCGTAAATATACCTGATCAGTGTTTCTAAGCATCTAGATTGAAGGCAAAAAATGACAGATCAAAATATTTGTGGTTGAAACCATAGAAAAAGTCTCCTGTTAGATTTGTCTAGAAAAGTTGCTTGAATTGTAGTGTACATGTAACACTTTGTCATTTAATGTATTACATGAACTTTGAGTTGATGTAAAATATTTTTCATCTTGATAATGATATGATATATGTAAGCGAATGACAAAATAACATTTGAGTTATTATTACATATGATGTGAATCAAAGAGAATTAGTATCGAAGGTAAAGGAAATTGCCAGTATTCATACCCCCCCCCCCCCCACAAAAAAAAAATTTCTGTACACCCAAAACTACACTGTTATATAGATATGCCTGGGATGAAGAACAATAAAGGATTAAGAGGACATTAGTGGTGAAAACTTATGATGAAATATGATGAAACTTATGATGAAACGTCAAATAAATAAAGACGGGGATTCGAAAATGATGCTAATAGCAATAAGACAGATTGGAGAGAGAGAGAGAGGGATGATTTGCTCAAGGCACTTTTTGTCAAGACAGGAAAAACAAAACCCTTGAGACTTCTTGAGAAACAACACAATCAGAACTTGCTCAAAGGTCTTTGTTCAAATACAGGGATTACATAGTATCATTGCAGTAGACAAAATGGCCACCAGCCCAATCGCCCAACGTGTACCTTTTGTCGCGAACGTGTTGATTTATCAAGTTTCCTGTCCTGGACAGGCTCTTGTCTAGGAAAATATGCATATGTTGGAAATAAAATTGTATTTGGGTTGATGTCATCGAATCGGGGCAGCTGCAACGACAAGCAAAGCAGACAGGCCATCATAGTACTTTTGTGATTGCTTTAGGTGATCTCACACTTAGTTTTGCATTGATTCTGCTGTGTGCACCTATTATTTAATTACGCGGGGAATTATTTCAGAGTTTTATATAGTGGTTAAACTTCATTGAAGTAGTGTTAGTTTCAATTTTCCATTTAATTGCCTGTTAAGTCCACTTCATTTAGGTGCTAAAAGCAATTATCGCTATTCTCGCGGAACTACCTGTAATATCTCCTAGAAGCCTCGTCATCGACAGACAGTCAGTCATGGGTATGTAGCAACAAGAATGTGCACGCGCCGCGTCCGGTTGTCGTAATGGAAATTGCTCAACAAACGCAATTAGACGCACTGCTGGAAGAAATGTGACTTTGAAAATCTCCCAAATAAAAATGTCATTTTGCCCAAAATTGTACAGTTTTAATGAGCTTTAACTAAGTAACCCACGAGAGTGACATTAAATATGATGTATTATGAAACATTCTCTAAACATAAGCAGTGAGATCCTTTCCAACACTTGCTGAAAACCGTCAGATTCTTATCAAATTATTACTCACAGATACATTGAATTATATGTAGCTTTTGTGATATAAACATTCCATGATTACATCATGTTAAGTTCGAAATCTTCACTACTTTATGCTAAATCACCGTGTGTATCAGGTCACGGAATACTACCCTTTAAAATATTTGTACACTTGACAAGATTTCGTTACAGTAGTTTTTATATAGAATTTTTAGTGATTTTAGACCTTTTATTTATTCCAAATAACATTCATCTGTCTTGTAGGGCTGAGTAAATGGTCGCAAGCAGGTTTACGTTACGCTTTAATAATGAGGCCTTTCGCACGTTATATTGGGTACATATGTGGCACTGTTGATTAGTTACAGGGTACATGTATGTGATACTTTTGATACCACAATTCACCTACAGTTTTCGATATAAACGGATTTACAAGTAACAATGAATTTGTCTGTATAGCTATATTGGTAAAATTATTCACAGTTTTGTTGTGTCAGACTGTTAATTCCTACTGAAATATCAAAACCAAAGGGGAGTCCAAACCAAATTCTGACCTACAAGGCTGAGGGTTAAGTTTCCATATAATAATTACGGGACCACTCCTTCTACAGTATAAAAGGCATATAGGAGCGTGACGCAAAATGATTCATGCCCCGGGTGAGGATCGAACTCACGACCTTCAGATGACTCTACTTCATTGATTATGAGACTGACGCGCTGCCTACTACGCTACCGAGGCGATATAATACGCTTTGTATCCTAGTTTATCGGCCTCGGAAAGGCGCAGGGAAAAAAGCGCATCTTTCTAGTTATTTCATATACTGTATCATTGCCTTTTTTTCTTAAACAACGATTGCTTCTGTTTGTTGACGTAGGGTATGGGTTAATAAAAAGGTAGTAATAAGTATAATCAAACTTTACTTCAACGTTGATTTTAAGTTTATATGAAAAATAACCGCTGAAACAGAAAATAACCGTGGCTTCATTCAATTCTAAAAGAGACTTGCTCAGCAAGATACACAAAAAATAATCCTGAGTGGCACCGGGGATAAATTTAATATAGAAACGGGGTAATAGCGTTGGTTCTTTCAATTGTTTAACAGAATAATAATAATAATAAAACAATTAACCAACACGTATGAGAATCCGACCTTTTTCGACTAAATTGTAAAGCAGTATAGCTTCCACAACAACAAAGCCTTAATTCAGATCATCTATGCATCTTTTCTTTTCCATTAAAGATACATTTGAAACAAGAGTGGATTTCCTGTAACGAATGCAAACAACTTTAACTGGTACTAGTTTCTTTCTACGAATCAAATAAAGTCGATGGCCAAAGGCTAAACAGATTTAATCACTCGATCAGCCATAAAAGAGCTTTAAAACTGCACGTTCTTCAAATTTTTGGTCGTACATTGAGCTTCTTACAGACCTACGTATCTGCCCCTGTTATATATAGGCTACAGCACAGAAAGTAAGCAGAAAATATCACTTTTCGGGAATATCTTGCTATATCTTAGTTATGCCATTTGAAACTACAGTATATGTTGGCATTTGATCAGTTCTTGTGGCAAAAATTGCATCTTTGAAATATCGACGTAACACAGAGTAAAGCATGGGCGTGACCAAAATGTTCTGCCCCTGGTGAGGCTTGAACTCACGCCCATCAGATGAAATATTCACAATCAAGGGGAAAGAGGAGGCCCTGGTCAGAGATTTGGCCAAATACTACATCTCCATCCTCAATGGGAGTAAGATTGAGAAGCCGTCGAGCAGCATACACAGCTCAGACACACGGGGGTCTTCGAGAATGAGAACAGCCAACCCAGTGTAGTACGGTACAACACTGTTCAGATACAAGTTGGTCTTCAAGAATGATTACTAATTGTTAACACATTGTAATACAACAGCGCAAGAAATGCAACCTAGGACTACCGCCCGGTGATGAGTAGATGGACCACACAGACCTCGATCTACCAGACGACAAAAGCCAAGGAAAGTGACTGATTGGTAAGCATCCCACAGCCAACTGTACGATAACTCGATCACCTAATTAGGAGCCCAAGGCTAGCAGCTAGGTGTTGTGATAATCAAAGTAACTACTTTCAAAGTAACTACTTTCAATTAAATCTAGAATTTTTGTAGAACGTCCTGGAATGTAGTAGATAATTAAGAACATAATATGATTTAGTATATCATGTAATCTGTAATGGCTTCTAAATGCATCTGTACTTATTCCTTTCCTTTTTGGATTCACACTTTTTCAATTGATTGGCATTTTAACATACATAAAAACTAAAGGATTTGAAATTCAAAAAGAAATATTTTGTTAAGATAAAGCACATTTTATTATACCTTTATGAAAGAGAAGAAAAGCAGAAACTTGACAAACGAAATTCAATTTTTCCTTTGTATCTCTTATTTCAATTTGCAAAGATCTTCTCTGTATGTAGACACTTCGTGAATTTCTTTGCTGACGTCATACCAAGAGATGACGTTTCCTCCAAAATTATCGCCACAGTTCGCAACTGCTGCAACGTCAATATTGTCGGTGTTCCAAACATTGATGCTCGTGATGTCACCAACATAGGCTTGTGTAGCGTCAAATCCGCCGCCTACCGTATCTTGATCTTGTCCAACTATCCAAACTCCATCTTAAAATAAGTTTAAC